TCTGAAGGTAACTGATCTTCTTGCTAGCTGTTTTGCCCTCTTAAAATTTAATTGTAAAGGAATTTCAGAGTTATGGGTAACCCAGTCTCCTATATCTGGAATGGCTGTGAAGAAGAGTGGAGGTAACTTATCTTCTCGCTAGCTGTTGTGCCCTCTTGAAAATGATTAATTTCCAAGGAATTTCCGAGTTATGGCAGAGTTCTAGGTAACCCAGTCTCTTACGTCCTGAGAAGGGCTGCAAAGGAGACTGCAGTCTCCTTTGTTACCTCCAGCTGGAGGTAACTTCTAGCTACAGTAGCTGTTGTGCCTCTTTGAAAGTTACTAATTGCAAAGGAATTTCATTGGGACTCACCACCCAAGTCTCAACACCCATTTTTCTATTTTTCAAACTCAAACCTCCTGTCATAACCAGAGCTCTGAAATCAACAGAACAACTTTTAACAGCGAAAAATCACTTTATTGACTTAAATCAACTATAGGTATTAACATGTTACCATAATGACTTAAAGTAAGGTTATGAGTAAGTACTATTTGATCAACACTAAAACTGAGAGATCCTTTCTGTAACTCTCACAAAGCTTTTTTCCAAGGTTTTTGTGCATTTGGAAGCAAGAAAAATTTTCTAGATAATTAATTTCTAGTCGTTATCAGGCGCAAACGTCCTTTCTTTATGCCAAGTATAGCATTCTCCCCCACTTTAGTAAAAGAGTACAAGAGCCTCCTGAAAAGTTATTCTAGACTTTGTCAGAAAAATGACTATCTAAAAAGTGAATAAAGTTTAGCGTAATTTGAACGTGCCATCACATGAAATATTTAAAAGCGCTAGTACCCTGATTAATGGCAAATGAATCAGATCCGAATTGATTCAGTCTGATAACTGAGACGGCGCCCACGCTCAAATAGGCGCCCTCCCCCAAATAAGCGCTTACTAGGCCTTTCTCGTTTGCACTCAGCAACATTTGAGCTACTTTTAGCGTCTGGAGCAATTTTTTGCGGTTCTAGCAAACTCGAGCAATTTTTGCCTTTCTGAGAATGTTTTTAACATAATCAAGGTTTAGAGCACATATCAAGCACGAAAAAAACTTCACATAACCTATTACTTGACATCGTTTCGCAGGCCTATTGTGATCCTTATCTGATATAATTAGAACGGATAATTGGCTGAAATGAAGCCCAAAAA